AAATACCAGTATGAGCTTCTCTATGTGTTCTCCTGTCAAATAAATAAATAAAATCTAAAAAAAAAAAAAAAAAGGTAAGAAAACCCCTAGAAACACCAACCAACCCAGAAGCAACATGCAGCCAGGCTCCTTGGAGAAATGGAGGGTTCCAGCCTTGGAGCAGGAAATACGCAAAATGAGCCTGAAACATCTGGTCCTCTCAGAAAACAAGGAAGCTGCAAAGTCTCCCAGGATGTGTCAAAAGGCCCCAGAGAACTGCTCCAACAGGCTCCCACTGATTACATACTAGACAATCTGAACGTCGCTGACAAGAACTGATCTGGCGTGAAACGAGGCCCATCAAACACGTTAGAGGAAAACCCATGATCTCATACAGATATCGTACAGATACCAGCAACCACCACCCCACACGCCCTCTTCAGTCAGCGTTGATGGCACCGGGACACAGACTCACTCTGAGGAAATCCCTCCTCCTAGGGGCTACGCCACGGCACAGGCAGAGGCTGGGGGCGGGGGGAAGCCCTGCACCACCGCGTCATCCAGCCAAACCTCGAGGAAGGGAGGGCGGGATGAGAATGTCGCCATCTTGCAACCCTTAATGATCCAGGCTAACGTCACAAGCAGACGTCAGGAAGAACCAACACCACCTACTAGTATTCCTGCCCCAAATCTGCATCTGATCAAGTCTCTGGAACCAAGTTACAAGAATAGAAGAATATGTAAAAAACCATACCACGCGCATGTAATGAGCAACACTCCACTATGGGAAACTCTAAAGGACAGCCAACCAGCTTCCTGTGCAAATACATTACAAGGGAAAGGGGAGGGATGGCCGTACAGGTTAAGAGAGACCTAAGAGTTAGATCGATTGACTCCAAAGCAGGGACCTTATTTGGATTCTGAATCAAACTAGAAAAAAATATACAAAGTAACTGGAAAAACTGATGATATCAAGAAATTGTTTTGTTTTTGTTTTGTTTTTTAATATACAACAACAGAATTATGGTTATGTTTTTTTGAAAGAGAGCCCTTATCTTCTAGAGCTACACCGGACACGTTAAGCGAAGAAACGATCTTCTCTAGGACTTGAGAACAGTCTAGGGGAACAGGGGTCGGCGGCAGGCAGAGGCTTAGAGAAAACGTGAGCCAATCACCATTGACACCGGGTGACGAAGGGGTTCATTGGACTACTCTCTCTGCTTCTGGAGATGTTTGAAATCAAAGAAGATACTTGGGAAGAGGACAAGTACTATTACAAATGTTGTCGATTTGGGAACGACCCCAGAGGTCAAACCTCTAATCTAACTGCACACCACGTCGGAAGCTGCTGACAGCAAGCCCCAGGGTCCCGGGGCCCAGTGCCCATGGTCTCCCAGACTAAACCCACCAAGCGAGGAGGAGCCCATCCGTGCCCCGGTGTCCTGTCGATCGATGCTCATCAGACCCCTGAGCAACACGGGGCGCCCCACCCACAGTCGCGCCCGCCACGTCCGGTACTCACCGTGCTTCTCCTCGGCCTCCACGTCTACTACAGGGACCTGGGCAGGAAGCAAGGAGGAAAAAGCTGATTCTCGATATGCTGCTTCCATGGATCTCCTCAAAGCAATGACAAAATTAAAGAAGGCAGAAATCTGACTGAACAATCAGACGTTTTGTCTACGTGCACCTAAATGCTGGAGTAGGAGTTCCAGGGCCGTCCAAGGGCAATGACAGAAACCGAAGCTCCTGTTAGCTCACCATTTCCAGTTCTGACATCTCAGGAAGCTGGGGGGCAGCCTCCACCACAAACTGACCGTCTTCCTCATTGTCAGAGTTCTGCGCATCTACAATCACACTGGCAACGAGTTTACCACTCCCTGTCCTAAGAAGAAAAAGAAATTAGGTTACAAGAGAAGGGCTGCTGGTCGCATGTCTGCATCAATCCCCTGCATCCCAGGCTCCATGGGAGGAGTTTAACCACCACCTACCTCTAGAACGTCACAAAATACAGGCGGAAGCTGAGTGAAGACCCAGGCCTGGCCCCTGCCCCCGGTGGCCTCTCTCCACCACACCCAGCCCCCACCCCACGCCCAGACCTCACAAGGGCCCTTGGAGCCTCACTCCTCCCCTGGCTGCACTCTCTGGACACCAGCCCTCCACCTGCAGCCCCTCACCTGGAGGGCCCTATTCTTCCACATCGCTAACATCAGGGCAGGGGTGGCGATGTGGCCCCAGAGCCCTGCTCCAACACAGCGGCCTCCTCCTGGCTGCCAATCCCTGCCCAGCACCTCCTCTCCACCAAGTCCTACCATCGCTCTGCGCCAGTCCAACACCCAACTGCCTGGCCACCAGGCCTGGCCCTGTCCTCCCAGGTGACTACCTCCATCCAAGGGGACCTCCTGTGGCCACCCCACCTACTGTCACCCCACTGCAGGCCACTGTCAGCTGCCCTCTGCTTATCAGGCCCTCACGCCCACCACACTGTGCCTGGGTCACAAGGCTCCAGACCCAAACACCCACCAGCTCCCATCAGCCCCACCTGCCTTCACTTCTTTCCTACCAGCTTAGCATAACCACGCTTTACCAAGTGCCCTTAACTCCCCTGCCCTACGATCGCTCTAGCACACAGGCCACACGTGCACACACACACGCACACCCTTTCCCTTGCTTCAGGACAATACAGAAGGTCAGGAGGAAAACTGTGCACTTGCGTATGAGCTCTCAAAACAGTGCACATTTGTCCCAAGCACCCTCAGCTCCTCTGCCGGGCCCTTCAATCCTCACGAGCAACGTCCTGCCTCCACCAGGGCCAGCCTCACTGCACCCCGTACCTCTCCCAAGCCCTGCGCCCCTCGAGCCCCTCCCACCACCATCCCTCATCAGCAAGCCCTCTCCATTCTCCCCTGCCTCAAGCAGCACCCTCCCGTGGCCAGGCCCAGAGGGAGGGCCAGCGTTCTCCTTGTGCTTACTGTGTCTTCCAGATTATTCCCTCTAATGTCTGCCAACTCTGAAGCCACACCACCAGCCTCTCTTGGCCCTCAACCCCATTGTTACTGCCACCCCCTGCCAGCCACCAGGCATCCCCCTGCACTCCCGGCTGCCAACACTGCCCCTGATCTAGGTGAGAAGTGGTCCTTCCCAAAGCCTGGCTCTAGGATCCCCAAGCCTTCCTGCCACCATCCTGCTTCCATCACAGCCACACACCCAGGGTCACCCTTGGGCGCTGCCACCGGCAGCAGGCCCCAATCTCAAATCGGAGCACCCCACTCTCGGACCACCACTGCCCGCATTTCCATCTCTGTGCCTGCCCAGTGTCTGCACCCAGCAGCAGAACAGAGTCCACAGCAACACTGACTCCCGTCACTTCACCCCACGTGCACCCGGAGGCGGCCTAGCATCCTGCTTCCGCACGCCGCACCACAGACCTCGGGGCCTGCGGGCCGCTCGGTGGGGCTGCCTGTCCGCTGGGGATCCCTGGCAGCATCCCTGCCCCACTCCCTAGCTAGACGCCAAGAACCTTCCCCCGAGACCCTCCCGGGCCTGATGCTACACAGGGCCTCCAGACACAGCCCCACAGGAGGCTGGGGGCGGGGGGGACACGACCCCAGAGGAGGACCCTCTGCTCCAGCCCAGGCAGATGCCCGCTCCCCGGCCACACTCGCTCTGGGCTCACAAGACAAGTGGGGCTCCAGGGGGCACTCAGCTTCCAGAACTCACCCACACGCCAAGTCTCCACCATCTTCTCCAAAGCCAGTCCGTCTGCGTCCCCTCACCACTCGGGGACACTGTTCCAACGACCCTCCCACCCTGCGGCCCCTACAGCACCAATCCCCCGTCTCCACTGGATCGGTCCCGTCACCAGTCTCCTCATCGCAAAAACAGGAGCGAGTCACATTCCCGACACCATCCCTCCCGCCACCTACGGTGTCCTTCCTTCACGTCCCTGACAACAAGGCCACACCTGTCTCCAATTCCTGTCTCTGCTCTATCACAAACCACTCTGGTCCAGCCCGCTTTATTTTCCTATTTTTTGGTTTTGATTATCTGTATTTTCCTCTAAAGATCACACTACATCCGCAGGGATATTTGTAACACTTAGAGAACCCTGTCTGTGGCTTGCTTTTATATCGTTTAGGACTTTCTGACCTTTTGTTTTACATTTTTGTACAATTAAACCTTGAAATCTTTTTTTCCTAATTTTCCCTCATCGCTTTTATGCTCAGAAAATCCACCCCCACCTTCTCTCGAAGAATAATTTCCCCATGTGCTGTAAAGCACGTTTTCTCTTCAGCTAACTGAAGTGTGTGGTCGGCGTGTGGCCTGAAGTCAGGGCCTGACCCGGCTTTCCTCTCCTTCTCAGCTGGCAGCGGCCCTGCCCCTGCCCCTGCACCCCACCCCCAGCACAGCTCCCAAAGGAGGCCTCACCTGTCTGGCGTCAGGGCCTCCACACTGTCTTGGTGCTTCACCCGGGGAGGTGCTGGTCTCGCACTCCCAGGCCGAGGTATTCTTCTAAACCCAAACATGGGAAAACCAAAAAGGGGATATGACACACTTGCACATTTATTAAAAGTGCACGACAGAAAACCCAGGTCAATGTTACTGCTAATTTCCCACCATCAACATGCTAGTCGGGACACAGTCTGCAGAATGTTAAGAACATTCCATCAATCTGACAGGTTTAAAAGTATCCGTCTCTTAATCTTATGTTTTCATTAATTTTAAGGCTCAAAAAGGAATCCTGTAACTCTCAGTAATCAAAACATAATTTACCATAATTATGAATTTCCCTAAACCTTTAAAATGTCCTACGTGTAGTAACTTATACCCAGTATAGGAAAATTAAATAAATGGTTTCTGCTTTCTTTGTACAAGTATTTCCTCATAACTGAGCTCAAGCACTAAACAAACTGCAGAAGGTGCAGAGAGAAGCAGGCAGCGGCCTGGGCATTGGACAGGAGCCCACGGACCTGATGTTGGCCGGAAGCTCACTCGGCAGCTCAGAACTCTCAGACACCTCGGGCTTCTCTGGGCCAGAAGGTCCCACTTCTCCTTCTGAACCATGACAATCCAGTGAGCAATTCACAAAGGAAGAAACACAAACAGGTAATAAGTATTTGAAAAGACAGCAATTAAATAATCGCAAATATAAATGAGCTTTATTCATCTATCATTTTCATGAAGATAAAACACATTTCTTATCTAGATTCGGTAAGATCTGGGGAGATGGGTGCACTCAAACCCTGGAAATACAAACTGGTTCAATTTCTTAAGAAACAGAATTCAAGAGGTAGGCTGATCCAGTCAAGCAATTTAACATAAAGGAAATACAACCCGAGAGGGATGGACGCGTGTGATCCTGTGTGTCAAGATGCTCACCAACCACCACTTGTGTTAGTGACGGTGGGGGGGTCACGCCAGCAGACTATGGCAGTCACTCGCCAGACCCTTTGCATAAAACAGTGTCACCGTCCTAACACATAACTGAGGACAGTAACGTATCTAATAACACACACACACACACAATGGGCGTTCTAGAAGGACATTCATTTAGGTTAGAAACAGTGTTTTTCATTTCCTTCTTGATATTTTTCTGCATTTAAAAAACTTTCTACTTTGGGTATATATCCAATTGTTTTTATAATCTGAATAAAGCTTTCTTCATTTTAATAAAAAGATTTAATCAGTAAGTAACAACCCCTAACTATTAAGGCAATTAAATTTATTCCTGCATTTTAAGTAAAAGGGCTTTGTGTTTTAGAAATCAGACTTTGTAATTTAGAAAAATCAGACTTTGAATTTAGAAATATACTTTTTATTCTGGAAAGAACCGTAATACATTCTTCCGGAACATAAGATATATAAATTAAATCTTACAGTGGTAGAGTTACGTTTCCTTCAATTACCTTCACTAACTCACAGTGTAAAACAAATCTGACAGTACATGTGAGTGTCTACACGCACATGCACACAATTTATACCAAACACACGCAGTTCAGGCCGTTCCTCACCTGCATCACTCGGGGAGCCGCCTGCAAAAAAAAGAAAAGAAGAAAAAGGACATCGGAAGACCGACTTCTGTGTTGGTAAAGCTCAGTGTATTAAGTAGCAGGACTAGGGACAAACACTAAGTAACGGGACACCCGTCAGGGAACACAGAGCCTTTCCTAGGGTCCCACTGCCATCACTTTATTTTCAAAGATCGAAAGACAAAGAACAAAGTGCACTTTGAATTCTAAAATGCTATTAATGAAAAGAGGCAACAGGAGTACGAAGAAAGCAGGTCACAGACATAAATGAGAGAGATTCAAGATGAGGCAATAGCGGATAAGCCAGGGAGCGTGAGGGACGAGAAGGTGTGACGCCCTTTTCGTGACGGGGTCACAGCAACCAGGGCCCTCCCTCCCTAGCTCGTCAGCAACGGCTCTTCCATCAGCTCCTGAACGAGGACATTTCTCCAGCTCCCCATGGGCCTACCTCCTCCTTCCAGTGCTGCGTTTTAGGGACAAATGGGACCTATGTGGCCCCCAGGAAATGAGCGGGAGCACTGTAGGGAGGGGAGACTCGAGGTCACAGAAGATACTCTCTGCCCGACACACCTGAGACACAGGACCACATCTGCAGAAGCGACAAAACAGCACGGTCCAAGTTGGAGCCAAGGACCCCCGGGAGCTGCCGTGCAGCCCCCCATAAACCACAGCCCCACCTCCACACAGGGACCCTTCACACGCACGAGGACTGGGCCCGGGTTACCCTGAGGACACACGGCGCTCCTCAGACACCTCAGTCTGTCTGCTGGGGCAGACTTCAGAACTCTGGCCCTTCTGGGCAAGGGGAAGCGGGGGGCCCTACAGGACCTATGTGTACGGAACACAGGAACCTCCCACGGGTCACACTGCACAGAGCAGAGGACAGGCCCCGCTCCCACAGAGCCCGACGAACTGTGGGTTAGGAGGGGCCTGGAAATCATGTTTCCAGACAGCGCCACTAGAAGGATGGGGTGACAGCAGTGGGGGCTTGGGCCCGACCCTGGGCAGCAGAGCCTCTCCTTGACGCCATGCCACCCGGAGTGCACTTGGCAGAGCCCAGCGTGTGGCAGCCGCTGTGCAGCCTGGGGCCCTGGATTCCAGACCCCTGGGCTCTCCTCCAGTCTCACAGCATCAGTGTTGGGGACAGACTGCGGGTTCGTGTGCAGCTGCTGGATCTCAAGGCCGACACCCAGATGGACAGTGCACTCAGCAGGCCCCCCCCTTCGCAGATGGCGTCTCCCACCCCTCGGCGGGGGCTCCTGCCTCACAGACACTCAGGTCTCCTCTGGACCCGTCACCAGCTCAGCCTCTTTCCCTCGCCCTGGCGACCAGACCCCTGGCCACTCACATGCCATCTCTGGTGCAGACCTTGCCTGAAGCACCCTGGAACCTGCCCGTCCCCCGACCACCCACTCCAGCCCAGGCCGCTCTCTCCTGGCCCGCTCACTAAGCCTCCCAAACTGACGTGACCCACACGTGACTGAGCCGCTCACACCCACAGCAGCATGGGCCTCCCGCAGGGCTGGCCCCCTTGCTCGGCCCCCCGCCCGAAGGCTCCGTCCAACCCCACCCGGGGGCTGAGTCCTCCAGGCTGGCTCTGCTCAGCGGGGCACCACTGCACACGGCAGGCCGTCGGCACGCATCTCGGTGCACCACACTGACAGGCACCAGCCCTCCCCACGAGCGGGGCTCTGGGGCGCCAGCGCCCCGCCAAGCCTGCGAGGAGCTCCAGGCCCCGACAAACGCCGAACGTGTGCTTCGCTGCAGCGCACGTGCTGAGAATCTTAGGCCAAAAGCAGAATCTCACCGACGCACAACTTCAGACACCCAGAAAACACGACAGACAGAAATACCGGGTCAGGACGGTGTTTCAAGCTGCTTCGAAGTCCTCTTTGAACATGAAATCTGGGTGAAGTCTGAGTGGTGTGCGGCTCGGCCCGTGGGACTCCCCAGCACTGACTCTGAAGCTGGTTTCCGGGCCTCCCGACGCCACCTGGGCTGCGCACGTTATCTCCGAAAGAGCGCTGGGGACCCGGGAGACGCCAGTGCCGCCAACGAGGACAGCGTGCCCTACCCTAGCTGATGCAAAAGGGCAAAAGGGGTCCTTCACCACATCCGGTCCTGCTGGCGTGAAGAACCAGGGACTGGACCCCGTGTGCGTCAGAGAGCCGAAGGGACCCCGCGGCTCTGGCCGCCGCCCTCTGGGGAGAGAGGTGCCCCCATGTGCGTGTGGAGCGGCTCAGGCTCCCTCACCAGGAAAGGAGTGAAGAGAGGGTGTCCTTCTTACCTTTCTGCTTCACTGCTGGTTCTGCCTCGACGTTCTCACGCCACAGACTAGCTGAATTATCATCTGAAACACTAGCTGAGTTAGTATTAGCTTCTTTTGTTCCTGACAGAAAACAGTTTAAAATGAGTCATTACGATGTGCACGGCAGGCTGGTCCTCTATGGCTTCATTAACAGGGAGCACACACGCTCATCCACGCTCTCCCACACTGTGAGCTTACAGAACACTGGCCAAAGGCAGCTTTTGAGAACTCACACCAAGAATGTTCCTCCCAGCTGCGGCTGTGGGATCAGGAGAGGGAAGGGGTGCCCGGAATATGAGAAGGCCCCATGCTCACTCAGCCCAGGAGGAGGATGGGGTCCCCACAGCCAAGGCAAACTGGCCCCTGCACCATTTCCAGAACCTTCCTGACACTACCTGTCTCCACCCACCTCCCCACTGCAGCCAGACCCAGCTGAGAAGCTGCAGATGGGTGACAATTGCAGCAAAGCAAGAGGAAAAAAAACTATCTCTGGCATAGTCCACAATCCTAGACATATTCAAAGCTCTCGAACCCTCATGAAACTACTGACTAATGGGCCAATGTCTATAAAAATAGAAAAAATATCAAATACCCAAGAAATAAAACATTTTTTATATTAAAAATAAAGGAGGGGCAGGGAGGTGCTGAAGGAAAAGATTTTTAATGTGGTAGGACTCAGGGTAGAAAACTAACCCATCACTAAAGGACCCCCACTCTAAAATGAAACCAGGAGACAAAAATAAAGTTAGAAAAATATTCCCTTTCCTGAAATACAATCTTATAATTTCTCAAAAGTATTCAAATAAAGTTTATATCAGAATCAACCTATCATTAGCCATCAAAGAACTGAATTTATGTAACAGAACTTCATACAGTAGATGACATAATTTTCTAAGGAATTTTTTTTTTTTTTTTAAAGATTTTATTTAT